TTGGTCAAGAACCTCAAGTTCTTCCTTAGGGCCAGCCTAAATCCTTCCTGGGTCTGAATGAAAAACATGTTTCTGGGCTCCATTTTCCAAGCTTGTGGGTATAACTAACCCTTGCTTTGGGTGAAAAATCCCTCCACAGACCAGAAAGCACAGGACAGGACCAGTGACCAATCCTTTCCTCATCCGTTTACCTCCTGACTCCTTTACTCAGACCACTTTTATTTTTGGGGGGTTCGTACTGGTATTTGAACTCAGGGCTTGCACTTGCTAGGCGGGAAATCTACCACTTGAGCCACGTTTCCAGCCCATCTGCTTAGGCTGTCTCTCAGATGGTCTGACTTTTATGCCCGGGCCAATCTGGACTGTGATCTTCATATTTACACTTCCCTAGTAGCTGAGATGATAGGCACACACCACCACACTCAGCTTTATATTGGCTAAGATGGGGTCTTGTGAACTTTTTGCCCAGACTGGCCTCAAAGCTGAATCTTCTGGACCTGCACTTCCAAGAAGGTCCATCTTCTTACTCTCCTTTTGCTGGCTGTTTCCCTTGGCAGGTGGACACCCCAGAAGTGACTGCCCCACTCCAGTTTCTCTATATTTCAACATCCTCACCCCCTCCAAGTCACTCACTTTCCTCCCTCTGCCCAAACAGCTGTGATTCACAGGTCAGCACCCACCAGACTGCATTTGCTTGTCCACCCACCCCTGCCTCTTACCTTCACAGGAGCTATAAGCCCTGGACTGACCCCTGCACTCTTCCTTTCTCTGTTTTCTCTGTTTTCTCTCTGTTTCTAGCAGCCCTCCTCTTCCTGCTGGGCTCCTATGAGCTGCCCCAACCCTGGAAAGCCTCTGCCTGCACCCTACCTAAAGTGTAATGGGAGAAAGAGCATGGAAATCAAACACACTGATTTGGCTGCTCACCGGAAATGCACTGGCTCTTAGTTGTGGGTGGTTTTTGTTGTTGTTGGGTTGTTGTTTGGTGGTACTGGGGTTTGAACTCAGGGCCTCATGCTTGCTAGGCAAGCGCTCTACCACTTGAGCCACTCCACCAGCCATTTTTTTGTGATGGGTTTTTTTGAGATAGGGTCTTGTGAACTATTTGCCCTGGCTGGCTTCAAACCTGATCTTCCTGATCTCTGCCTCCTGAGTAACTACACAGGCGTGAGCCATCCACACCTGCCTCTTTCTTTTTCCTTCTTTCTTTCTCTTTCTTCCTTCCTTCCTTCCTTCTTTCCTTCCTTTCTCTCTCTTTTTTCTCTCTCCCTCCCTCCCTCTCTTTCCTTCCTTTCTTCCTCCCTCCCTCTCTCTTTCCTTCCTTCTTCCCTCCCTTTCTCTTTCTTTCCTTCCTTTCTCCTTTTTCTTCCTTCCTTTCTCTGTTTCCTCTCTCTCTCTCTCTCTCTCTCTCTCTCTCTCTCTCTCTCTCTCTCTCTCTCTCTCCCCCTCTCTCTGTCTCTCTCTTTCTCTCTCTCTCTCCCTCTCTCTCTCTCTCTCTCTCTCTCCCCCTTGATAGGACTGGAGTTTGAACTCAGGGCTTCACGCTTGCAAAACAGTCATTCTAACACCTGAGCCACACCTCCAGCCCTGGGGACGATTTTTGAATCCAGTTTCTCCACTTAACGTGGGCAAGTTAGTAACTCTCTGGGCCTCAGTTTCCTCGTCCAAAAAACTGGGGATAATAATGATATCTACTTCCAAAGTCTGTTGTGCAAATTAAATAATTTAATACTATTTACTGCAGATCTAGATCTACATGGGAAAATGCCTGTCACATAAATATATGCTAACTATTTTTTAAATTATTTTTTGGAATATTACATAGCCTTTATTTATTTCCTTTTTTTTATTATTGTGCTGGATGGGTATTTTTAAAATTATTATTAGCTATATGACCTTGCTCAAATTATTTCACTTTGCTAAACCTCAGTTTTCCGCATCTTGAAAATGGAAATAGAGTCAGGTGTGGTAGCAAACGTCTGTAAGCACAATAATTTGGGAGGCAGATGTAGGAGGATTGAGGTCCAAGGCCCACCCAGGCAAAACCTTGAGATTCTATCTAAAAGACTCAAGTGGATGACCACTTGTTTAGCAAGCACAAGGCCCTGAGCTCAGCCCTCAGTACAGTCAAAAGTCAAAGAGTTTTTTTAAAAAAGAAAATATAATCCAAACCAGTCCGGGGAAATAATTTGTGAGACCCCATCTCCAAAATAACCAGCGCAAAATGGACTGGAGGTGTGGCTCAAGTGGTACAGCACCTGTTTTGTGAATGCCTACTTTGCAAGCCTGAAGCCCTGAGTTCAAACTACAGTCCCACCAAAAAAAAAAAAAAAAAAAAAAAAAAAGAGCTGAGCGTTGGCGGTGGCAGTGGTTCACTCTTGAAATTCCAACTGTCAGGTTCAAGGCCAGCCCGGCAACTAGTTCTTGAGACCCCTAGCTCTAAAAATAACCAGAACAAAATGGACTGGAGGTGTGGTTTAAATGGTGGAATGCCCAATTTGCAAGTGCCTGAGTTCAAAGCCCACCCCACCAAAAAAGAAAAGGAAAATATACATATAAAAAAAGACTCACGCCCTGGATTTGTCAGGACTGAATGAGACTGAGTCTATGAAGTACTCAGCACTGGGTGAAGCATATGACAGGTGTTCGGTCTCCTTGTGCCCGGGAGCGCTCCCTGACTTCCTCTCTTCCTGAGTGTTCTCGCCTCTCTCCCACAATAGTCCTTCCAGGAGGGATAATTTCTACTGGACACTTGCTTCCTGACCTGGGGGCCTGTAGGCACTATGGTTTCCATTCCCTGGGGTTTTATCTTGGCCTTTCCAGGCCCTGCACCCAGCAGAACCTGAGAAAATATGCAGGCCTCTCCCTATCTCCTCCACATCTTTGCAACCACAAATATTTATTGAGTACCTACTACTCTGCCCAGGATCCCTCCCCCTGCCTTTCCCTCCTTCTACTATGTCCCCCACCTTCCACTGTGGCCTAAGGGAATAAGGAGTGAGGGAGTGAGGAGAGAAGGAGGCTGAGGGAAGGGAAGGGTCAAAGAGGGCCCGGAAAGGACAGTAGACAACATCCGCCTGGAGAGTTCCCTTATTCCAAGTCCTCCATCTTGACTGTTAAGAAGAGGCAGAGTTTAAACCACAGTACCACCAAAAATAAATATATAAATAAAATTAAAAGAAAAAAAAAAAGAAGAAGAGCCGGGCACCAGTGGCTCACACCTACAATCCTAGCTACTCAGGAGGCAGAGATCAGGAGGATTGCAGTTCGAAGCCAGCCTGGGCAAATAGTTCCCAATACCCTACCTAAAAAAAAAAAAAAAAAAAAAATCACAAAAAAAGGGACTGGTGGCTGGTGGAGTAGCAAGTGGTAAGAGCTCCTACCTTCCTGCCTAGCAAGCTTGAGGTCCTGAGTTCAAACCCCAGTACCGCCAAAAAAAAAAAAAAAAAAAAGAGGCAGAGTTTTGGAATCAGGAAAACAGGATGAGTCACAGTTCCATCACTACCTCTGTGACCTTGTGACTTGCCTCTCTTGGCCTCAGTTTCCTCATGTGTAAAATAGGGCTAGTCCCTGCCTCAGGATTTTGAGAATGACATCAGATGGCTTAGAGCACTCGCAGTGTCTAGTGTTCACACAGCTGTCTTTGGAAATAGCCCCTACCTTAAACATTATATGGAGGCAGTTTTTTTCTCTCCAGGACAGAACTGCCCAGCCCTGATTAGTCTTTGACACACCTTCGGACATGACAGGCTATATGAGGGGGCCTCCACCCCCAAAGTATGACCCATCCCAGCCATCCATCATGGCAAGCATACCAGATGGGTGTGCTCGCATGCACTCACTTGCAGACAAACTCTCATAAAAGACCTTCCACTCCTGAAGGAGACCAACTCACACAATTTTTATTATACTTATGGAAGTGAGCTATAGCTCTTTGTTTATAGAAATGCTTCTTCCACCTTATTTTAGCTTTCTGTCCCCAGTACCTGGCCAAGTACTTGGCCTTCAATAAAAGTTGTTGAATTATTAATTAATCCTTTCTGTTCAATGCCTAGAACTGTGTTTGGCCTGATACAGGTGGTCCCAGGAGTGGCATGAGCAAGTGAATACACAGAGAAGGCACATAAACACCTAGCCCTGCCCTCCCCTTTTCTCCATGGTTCCCACCCCATCCGGTTTCCAGACCCAAACTGGCCAAGAGCACTGATGAAACCCAAAACTTCAGGACACACCCAAGCTCTTAGAGGTCAGGCACCTGGGCAGGTGAACAGGGCAGCCCAACAGGAATCAATCACCTGTACACTTTAGCCTGAGTCTTTGGAAACAACTCATAAGGGGCTGCTCTCTGACCTGGCCAACTCTCATTCTGTATTGCTTTGCAGCCCTAAATTTATACACACACACACACACACACACACACACACACACACACAGAGAGAGAGAGAGAGAGAGAGAGAAACCATAGGCTGCTTTCTCCACAACAAACTTTTTTCTACATCAAAACCAACCTCACCCACCTGCACAGCACCTGCATGGCCTTGCCTCATGTCATCTGGCCTCACCGCTCCATGAGACTCTTGGTTTATCTGATTTGGTGCTGGATATGGAACCCGGGTTCTTGCACATGCTATACCACTGAGCTATACCCCCAGTCTTTCTCTGCAGGTTGAGACCTTGCTGTTTGCTGTGTCTTGCTTCAGGGAGGGATGGGGCTGAGCTCAACTCTGCCCTTTTGTAAGTTAGGAGCTTGCCCACTGGAAGGAGGAGAGGAGTGAGGAGGGAAAGCACTGCTGACCCAACACTCCTACTCTGGGTAAACATGGAAAAGAGATGGCTTCACTGGGCAGAGACAGCAGTCCACCAGGCTAGGGGCTCCCTACCTTGCCCAGAGGGAGGTCTACCTGAGTAACTCTTCTTCCGGGTCTCAGGCCTGGTAAGCATCTATCTCAATACCCTCTGACCACCCTTCCAGGTGCTGGGCAAGTCGTGGAGGACAGACTGACCTGTAGGGGTTGAGGGTGCAGATGGTGACGGCAGGGAAGACAAGCTTGTCGGAGTTGAGGTTGATGTTGAGGCTGACGGGGTAGCTGAAATATTCTTCAAACAGCAGGGCAAACTGCCAGTACATCATGCCAAAGGTGCAGAGCCAGAGCACGGCCCAGAAGGCCGTCTTCATGCGGTTGTGCTTGGAGCACACCAGGCGGATGGCGCCATGGATGGTGGTGTTGTTGCAGAAGAACTGGAAGAGTTCTCGGTAGGAGCGGTGGAACTCGATCAGGGCCTCCTCCTCCTCCGTGGGCTGTGGGGGGACTGCAGGTTCGGGGTCCAGCCCCTGCTCCTCACGCTTGTCCCCCTTCACGAGACCTTGGATGGGCTGGGGAGGACCAGGGTCTTGCTCCTTGAGCTTGTCTCCCTTCATTGAGCCCTTAGGTGGGTTGGGGAGGTGAGAGTCAGGGCCCAGGCTGACTTCAAGGCTCTGGGTGCCCTCCCGCATCACCAGCGTGAATACAGAATGAAACTGGCCCTGGCCCTGCCCACATCCCACTCTGGGTCCACTTTTCCCCACTCCTCCCACCCGCCTGCCCTCCTCCACCTTTCCAGGATCCAGCTGACCTGGAGTTGGGGCCAAAGAGCCGGGCCTGGGCTTCCCTGGAGTGGCCTCTCTGCTTCCTAGATAAAGCCACCTTGGGTTCCACGCTAGCACCTCCCTCTCTGTCTTCACAGTGGGCCCTCTGCCCTGCTTTCAGCCTCTCCCTCTGGCCCTGTTCCTCCAGGACTCCGTAGCTTGGCTTCTACTCTCACCCCCTCAGCGTGTCTGCCTCCTACTTCTGTTTGGGTCCCTCTCTGGACTCTGTTCCTTGCCTGTCTCTTCTCCCTGTGCCAGGCTCTCTGATCCTGCCTCTCTTCCTCTTCCTCCTCTTCCTTTTCCTCTCTCAGCCTGGGCCCTCTCCTCAGTTCTCTGATCCTGGCCTCCTGTCTCCTTTTCTGTCCCAGGAACTGCAGGGCTCCAGGAGGCCTGACTTGCCTCCTGCTCTCTGCTCCCAGGTGTGGCTGGGCTGGGACTGGTTCCTTTCCAGTTGAATCTGGCAGCCGAGCCTCTCCACCCTCTCACCTGACAGGTGCAGCGCCTGGCCTGGGAGCCCGCCCGTCGGCCAAGGATGGAAGCGACAGAAGCTTCATTAGCATCTCAATTAAAGGTGAGCAGGGCAGGGGGAGGGGCAGAGGAGGAGTCTGGGTTGGGAGCTCTTCTGGGGACAGGTGAACCCAGGCAATGGGGAACTGTGAGGACAGAAGGGGTCCTAGGGAAGAGCCTAGGCAAGGGACTGATGGGGAGCTGACAGGCAAGGAAACTAGGGACAGAGGATAGGTGAAGGTTGGAGATGTTGAACAAGTAGGAAATCCTGCACACAAAGCCAAGAAGGCAAAACAGGAAGGATGAGTGAGACTAGGGTGGGGAAACCAGGAAAACAGGGAAGACAGAAGAAGGGAAACAGATAGAGGAAGACAGGATGAAGGGCCAAGAGAGAGAAGAATGGAGGAGGGGCTCTTGGGAAGCAGAGGCAGAGGAAGGGGGTGAAGAGGAGAGAGCCCCCAATGGGAGTGACCCTCCAAGTAGGAGAGCAATGGCAGGGAACCCCAAGTGAGCTTCCAGGAGCTAAGGTCTCCTCTAGTGGGATCTCTCCAAGGATACCCCTAAGGCAGCCTCACCCCCAGGTCCTGTGGGAAGAAAGAAGGGGTCTCTGTGAAAGTGGGAGCACCTGCTGGCACCATCCTCTGCTTCCTCCTCTCCATCCTCTTCCTTCTGGACTCCTCACACACACCCCCACCCAAGCTTAGTCCAAGTCAGGGAGGGGCCCAGGTGAAGCCAGGGGCTGGGCTGGGCCCTGGTACATTCTGTTCTTTTTTTATGCCATTGGCTGCCAGGCCTGGAATGTGTAATGTCCCCTGTTGTAGTCACGGGGTTGCAGGAATGTGGGCACAAAGAGGTAATGTGGGCGTGGGGGTCAGGCACAAACCAGGAGCCCAGGGAGAGTCAGGGGACCATAGGCTCTGAGAGGGCATGGAGGATGTGTCAGTGTTGGGTGTCTGCGAGGAAGAGAGTGAGCATGGCCCAAGTCTACACTGCCCAGGAAGGAAGAAAAAGCTAATTTCATAGGGACTATGTTTTTCTCCAAAATCTGTCGCAACATAACACAGCAAGAGGATAAAGAGGGAAGAACCAAGCAGTGAGCAAATAGAAAAGGAAAAGCCAGAGAATCACCCCAAAAAGAGGCCACAAGGAGACACAGGGCATCCACTCACACAGCTCAGGCCCCTGCCCAGGACATTGGTGATGGCAGGTCTGCCACTCCTGGGCTCTGTAGGAGGCAGCACTCTGCTTGCTCCTCTTAAGGCCACCTGCGCTCCAGCAACAGCATGGGCATTCTGTGTGCTCTGACCAACAGACACAGGCTTAAGCACTGATAGGGGCTTGTGGAAAGCCTGAAAACAGGTAGTTAGTAGTGATACAGTAAAATAAAGATTTCAAGTGCTGCAAGAGCCTGGGGGAGGAACGGAGTCTCAGAGATGATGGTATCTCAGCTGGATCTTAAAAAAGTTTACCAGACAAAGAAGAGGGAGGAGGGGTTCTCCAAGTTCAGGGTACAACCTGATCTTGTAATGACTGTCTCTTGTGACTTCTTAAAGTGAAAACCTGTGTCAACCAGGGTTCCACCTGGTCCAGTCGTTTACCTTGACCTCTGCTCTTGAGACCTCCCAGGGAAGAGGAAGACTGGCTCTTCATTTTCCAGGTGAAGAATCTGACCCTCCGCAAAGATAAGCCAGTTTTCTCACGTCACGAGACAAAACACCAACAGCTATAAACAGAATCGGAATTCTTCTGCTCCTCTGGGGCTGTCTGCTTAGTGTTTGCACCATTTCCTTCTGGAGACAGACCAGCCACAGACTGGTGGGAAGCCAGGATTCCTCTGCACCTGGATTTGAGAGTCAAGAAGGGTTTGCTCACTCTCACACAGAGCGCACAGACTCATAGCTCTCTGGATATTGAACTGCCTTCCTTGCTCTGTGTCTCTGAACTGTTCCCACCTCTCCTCGGGGCCCAGACACTTCTAGAAACTCCGTTCTCCTTTGAGCCAAGTCTTTAAACTAGCGTCAAGCAAGCAAGGTGCTCACTCAGCTTCCTGACTGATCTCAAAGATTCTGAGAAGCTTTTTCTATTCGCGAGCTGCTGCCTAAAATCTAACCACTGGCTTAAGGCAGCACGTCACATAATTTCTATCTCAAGAGCTCTGTGAGAAGAACTGAGAGGCCTGATCTGGAGAGTGTGGTGACCCTGGCATGTCCTTGTCTTGTATCCTGCCAGTGTACAGAGCAGTTTGGAGACTACAGAACTGGAAATCTGGAATGGGCCAGGACAAGCCTGTTGTGAGAAAAATAGAAATCTGAGATCTGCACTTTTCAGAACCTTGTTTTAAATATTATCTTTTAAAGTGCAGAAATAATATACAAATACATTTTGTCACAGTATGGTTTTTTAGATATAAAGAAGTATTACAATAATAAAAGCGTCCCTCTGTCCCTTTCTTTTCCTTCCCCATAGCCCAAGGAGACCCACTATAGTTTGTACATTGGTCTACATTCTTTTCATGTGACTTTATAGACTTACATGTATTCTCTCTTTTCCTCTCTCTCTTTCTCTTTTTTTTTTTTTTTTCTTTTTTTGGTGGGATTGGGATTTGAACCTAGGACTTCGTACTTGCAAAGCAGGCCCTCTATTGTTTGAGCCACACCTCCAGTCCATTTTGTTCTGGTTATTTTGGAGATGGGGGGGCATCTCACAAACCATTTGTCCAGGCTGGTCTCAAACTATGATCCTCCTGATCTCAGCCTCCCTGGTAGCTAGGATTACAGGCATGACCACCCAGCTGACTTATGTATATTCTTTAAAACTAAAATAGCTTGTCTTTTTTATATAGGTATTATTCTATGACTTCCATTTCTGCTTTTAAACTTCTTGACTTTGAAAAAGGCACTTTATCTCTTTGAGCTCCATTGCTCTTGTCTGAAAAATAAAGGGGCAGGAAGCAGTGAAGAGGCAACCCACATGGTCACAAAGGCCTTGCCGGCTGACCTGCACCTAGCCTGTCACACACATGAGAGTACTTACTTTACATATGTAGATCACTTAATGAGTTTTCTGAAGCCAAGAACCAGTCTTATTCATCTAGACCTCATTGTCTAGTTTTTTGGGGGGTTTTTGATACAGGGTCTCACTATATAGCCTAGGCTGGCCTCAAACTCATGATCCTCCTGCCTCAGCTTCCCAAATCCTGAGATTACAGATGTGCACCACTGTACCTGGCTTAATGGTCACTATTTGTTGACCAGCCCTGAAGCTGACAGCAGAAGATGCTAATCTTGGGTAAAACACAGGATTTTTCTTTGACAAAAAGGGATGTGCTATGAGAAAGAACTCCAAAACATCAAACATCCAACACCCTCTAATAGCTCATTTATTTGTAGTATATTAATGATCTAAATTTCCTTTACTTTTTCCTTCCCAGTCTTTATCCTCTCTAGGGTAAAAATGTGTTATTCAGTTCAATGCATCTCTTTAGTCTTACTGCTTAGAGCTAACTCACCATTTCACACAGAGCTGCCTGCTATGGAAAATAGTGTTCCTTTTATCTTCCCTTATTTCGTGTGTATCTAAAATGATGGGCCAGGGGCTGGTGAGGTGGCTCAAGTGCAGCACCTGCCTGGCAAGCTCAAGGGCCTGAGTTCAAATCCCAGTGCTGCCAGATATATAAATAAATAAGTAAATAAAATGATGGGCCAGAAAATCCCTCCCTTCCACCCTTAGTCAAGTGACATGGGAGAAAGCTTAGAAGTTCACCATTAGAGATTTATTCCTTTAGTTAAGAAAGGGTTTAACAACCTTAGTACTACTGACATTTTTAGCCAGATAATTCTTTGCTGGGGTCACAGGATTGGGATGCTGTCCTGTGCATTGTATGGTGATTAGCAGCATTTCTGGTCTCTGTGCACTAGAAGACAGTACATCTTCTGAGGGATGAAGTCACCAGTTGGATAAGACATTGCCCCCACTAAAAATGCAAATACTGTGGAGAGGGTCAACCTTCATTGGTTACATTCATTTTTTAGTGTTTACCAGACCCTTCTCAAGGGTTCCAGTTGATTAAGTGCAGTGTCAGAAGAAGACTGAAGAAAGAGTAGCTAGAAGAATCTATGCACAGCAATTCTCTTTTTGAATTCTTCATGGGCTATGGGAAGAAGGGTTTCTTAGCAACTCCTTCAGACAGAGGCGTGGAAGAAGAGCCCACATCACACATTCTAAGAGTCTACAGGACACTCAATCCGAGTCTGGGGTTTTCCAGTGGACATCAGTAAAACTTCAAGGAAGTTGGTGATAAACAAAATTGTCTAAAGAATTTGTGGATTTCTCACCTCTGTGAGTCTCCATCCTCCAGGGAGGACTGGGTAGGCATTATAAGAACCATTTATTGACAAGATTTCTCTACTATGGTCTTTCAGATGGAAAACTTGGTGCATTGGTGATGGGAAGAGCTGAGAAGTCAAGAGGGGACAGGAAACTCAGAAAACAGCAAAGCAGGAAGCATCTACCGTCTATCACATAAAGAAGGCTGCACATCAATTTAGCAGGAATTAAATAGGGGGGCTACCTGGTAGGAGATGGAATTGTGGAAGGTGTGAAGGAAGAAACACAACCAACTGCAACTGATGCCAGAAAGTAGAGTAGAAGTGGCCTGGCTTCTTCCCTCCTCCACCCTCCTGCCATCTACCAGCGCCTCCTATTGGCTGAACCTATACAGAGGGAAAAGAGTCTGGGAAATGTAGTTCCCAGTAGTGAAACACAGTTATGCAGGGAAAGGGTGGAGAACAGATCTGCAAGTAAAGCAACCTTGACTGGTGCAAAAAAAGAGGTATAGTAATGGGGCCAGGATCAAAGCCTAGAACCTAGGGAGGGCTCTTTCCTTAGGACCTAGAGAGTCCCTGAGAGCTGAAGGAACAGGCTGGGTCTAGAAGCAGAAAAAAGGATATACTTCAGCCAATAAGTATTAAAAAAGATCTGGGATAGTAGTTTCCTGTGACTAGGAAGAGCATGCAGCAACCTTTTCTAGTGCAAAAAAATGATCTGGAAGGGTACACCAGAATATGCAAAATTATAACCAATCTATAAAACATATGCAATGAGTTAAGTGCTTTATGCACTCCATTTTATGTATGTTTTACCTCAATTAAAAGAAAAACGGAGCAAAATCCTGAAATATTTTCAAATGAGATGGTATGGTGTCTGGAACTCACCTCCCAATAATCAAAGAGGATTAGCAGGGTGTGAAGTGAATGCTGGTGCAGGAAGGTGGTATATAAAGAAATACGACTGCCATGAGTTAAAGCTGGGTAACGAGGACACAGTAGCTCCCAATATTACTTTCTCTCCCTCTATATAGTAGTGTGAAATTTCCCTAATAAAATCCAAAGAAGAAAGAGAAAAGATGATCTAATACAACTATGAACATTCCTTTATGCATTTAAGAGCTCTGGCTGAGTCTAGTCCCAGCACCAACCCCTTGAGACCCAAAAAGAGCTGCATCCTTGAGCAGGATCTGCTGTTGAAATATTTTTTCCCTCTCTGGGCAGCCTTGGACCATATGTCTACATGGTCGCCAGAAGAGTGCAGGTGCCTAGCCTGCATCAGGTGAGGAGAGAGTGCCTTACAGAGTGAATGTTCCAGGCAGGACCCTTTAACCTTTTGTGACCTCTCCTCCCCATACCCACACCTATACCAGCACTCCCCATCTCCTCCACCAAGAGCCTGTCTGGCCATCTAACGAACCAGGGTAAGGATGAATACTGAACAGAGCCTTTCAGGGAGAGAGACAGTGCACAGGTGACCTAGCTCAAGAGAAGTTAGGGCCTTCATCCCAAAGAAGACATCCCTAACTCCCTCCCACACCCCCACCGCCATCCCTGCCCAAGTCACAAGGAGGCATTGCTGGGGAAATGAGCTGGGACCTGGAAATCAGCAGACCTGCATTCTAGGCTGGTTTTGCCATGGACTGGCTAAGCAACGTGGACATCGTTTATCTAGTCCATGACTATCTATTGGGCACAGCATGAGTCAGCCTTCATGCTAAGGTCTGAGAACCCAGACTCAAAAGATCCAATCCAGGCCATTGCACAGCCCACAGCCTGGTGGGGAAGCAGACAACAAGCAGCAGGTCACATTCAGCAGTCTTCCTGGAGGCAGTGAAGCCTGAGCTAGTGGATGCTTCTTAGAGATGGAGTGAATCCTCAAGGACAGGTGGGAGTGAGCCTGGACTGACACTTGGAGACCAGACAGCAAAGGGAAGGGAAAGGAGAGAGGTTAGGGGGCATAACTGCAAGCAGCTCTGTAGGGCTGTTAGTGGATTGAAGGGAGATGGTAGGAAGAAAGGGGACACCAGACTAAGCAGCCTTGGAGCCCTGGTCTCTTCTGGCACCCAGAGCCCTGGTCTTCTGTGGAAAGTGGGGAGAATTAAACTGGGTGGGCTCTCAGGTCCCTCTGTTCAGAGGGATTCATAGGTCATTGGCAAGGAAGCTGGAACTGGGCTGGCCAGCCCCAGCCCAGTCCCCACTCACCAGGAACTGGGTCTGCACATCCTCCCCACTCTGTCCCTGGGAGGGAGGTTCCCGAAGGATGGCACAGGGCCAGCTGCACTCTTTCAAGGGTCTTGTAGTGTGCCCACTAGTGCGTGGACTGGGTGGACCAGCAGGGTGGAGGCCTGGTGGCTGGTTATCCCCTGGTAGCTTGTCATAAAAGTCACAGAGCTGGACAGGCACCCAGGTGTCTGCCAAGTGGGACTTCTGGGTCCCAGACACTGCATCTGCTGGCTGGCCGTGGGTCTCTGCGTAATGCACTCTGTCAGTCCCTGATGCCTCTGTTTTCTCAGGTCTGACACCCAGCTGTCCACTGCTCTGTCTCAAAATCCATCTGTTCCCTGGTCAGCTCTGCCCCAGCTGGGCTCTTGGAGCGCTGCCTGAGAGTGTCCACAAGCTCTGCTGCCTCTTTCCCACCAGCAGGGCCTGTCCTGATCCAGTAACCCTCCTCCTCCTCTCCCAGTCAGGCTTCCGAAGAAGGGAGGAGGCCTGGTTCCGGGCCTGCTGCCCTCACGTGCTTTCCCAGCCACCCCCTCCCAGCCTGCGTCGAGGCAGCCAAGCCTGTTCCTCTTCCCCCGTCGTGATTGCGACAGGCCGGTCTCAGCTCCCAGCGCTCCCTGTCCCCGCCCCCGCAGCCAGCTCTCTCCACTCCCACTTCCTGAGCCTGGCCGCTGGAGGCCTGGAGGCCAGGCCCGGCCGCTCCCGGCCCCCCGGGGCACGTCGGCCCAGCCGCTGGGCTTGGGAAGTCGCCACCGTCGCTGCTTAGGACATCCGGGCTTCCCACCTTCCTCCCAGGCCTCCACCCGCCTGGTCAACTGGCCAAAGGGCCCGCCATGCGTCTGCCTGGGGCCACCTCTCCCCGCGGCCTGGCCTGGGGGCTACTCCTGCTGGGCCTTTGTGGCCTCCTGGCTACATCCCAGGCCCAGCTGGTGAGGAAGGGGCCTGGTGGGGCAGGGGAGGGGAGGGAAGCCTGGCTGGGCAGCCTGCTTTTTAGCACCTCTGCCCGCCCAAGCTGACCCGACTCATTCTTCCCTTCTTCCCTTGGCCTGTCCCTCCCCTTCAAGGTACTCCCATACCGCATGGAAAACCAAACCTGCTGGGACCAGGAAAAGCAGTACTACGAGGCCAAGCATGGGGTCTGCTGCTCCCGCTGCCCGCCAGGTGAGAGGCGATGGTGTCAGAAGCCTGGGATGAGGAGGTGGGTCAGAGGGAAGACACTCAGGAAAACTAGCTTGCAGAGAAAGAATGAGAAACACTGGCCTTCTTCACGTTTTGGCCTGAGATTTGCCCTCTTCAGTGGACATCCTTGACCTCAACTGAGAGGTAGCTGCATAACCATGGGGATAGGAGGAGGGCAAAGAGACCAGGGACAGGCCGAGGGTCACACAGCAAGTGCAGAGGTGAGGGTGGAATCCAGTCTTCTGACTACCAACTGCCCACTCAATCTGATCTTAGGCAAGTATGTCTCAGCTGAATGCAGCCACAGCCAGAACACACTTTGTGGCACATGCCCTGAAAATTCCTACAATGAACACTGGAATCACCTCCTCTTCTGCCAGATGTGCCGCCCCTGTGACACAGGTGGGTGGAGATGTGCCTGGGGGCTGGATCTCTTGGCGCCTAAGCCCCCTTCTAAGCTCTCCCATCTCCTCTCCAGTGCTAGGCTTCGAGGAGGTTGCCCCTTGCACCAGCAATCGCAAAACCGAGTGCCGCTGCCAGCCAGGAACGTACTGCGTCTTTAGGGGCTCTGAGTGCATGCATTGCCAGCCACTTTCGAAGTGCCCACCTGGCACTGAAGCTGAGATTAAAGGTCAGAGGCCACTGAGGGCAGACTGTGAGAGGAGCCTGGGTGGCTATGAACTTGCATGGTCTGTGTCTTATTTCTGTAGTGACCCCTCCTCATTCCGTGCAAAAGGTTCACAGGAGGGATCTGTAGAGATACAGTGTTAGGACAGGTACAGGAGCATGGGAGGAGGCTCCTCTCAGCACTGGGGAAGCCTGGGCAAAATGGAAGACAGAAAAGTAGAGTTTGGGGAAGGTGACAGGTACAGAAATGAAGTGGTTGGCAAGCAGAGGCCATCCAGTGGGCATAAAGGAAGCTCATAGCTGTGCTCCCTTATGCCCGTTCACCCTGATCAGCCTGCTTTTCTCTTGACAGATGAAGTTGGGGAAGCTAACATCAACTGTGTCCCCTGCAAGGCAGGGCACTTCCAGAACACCTCCTCCCTCAGCGCCCGATGCAAGCCCCACACCAGGTGAGAGTACCTCTGCCCATACCTCATCTACCCTCCAAGAAGCCCCAGCTACGGACACCATGCCCTGCCTGAGTTGAGTACCTGGATGGGGACACGAAGAACTCAAGCCTCTTTCCTCCACAGGTGTGAAGATCAGGGCCTGGTGGAGGCAGCTCCAGGCACCCATGAGTCTGACACAGTCTGCAGAAATCCGCCAGAGCCACTGCCCCCCAAGATGACAGGTGAGAGGCCAGGGCTAATGGACACAAGGCAGGATCTGGGGAAATGCCCTAATCCTCCGCATCTGAAAAAATACACAATAGGGAAAAGATGAATGAATTCTTCCTTCCTAAAACTAGGGCAAGAACAAAATTTCCTTTAAAAGAAGTTGGAGCTGGGGACTGGGGACATGGCTCAGTGGTACAGGTACAGAGCTTTTCTAGCAAGCACAGGGCCCTGGGATCAATCCCCAGAACCACAAAAAAAAGAAGGAAGGAGAAAGGAGGGAAGAAGGGAAGGAGAAAGAGAAAGAGAGAGGTAGGGAGGGAAGAAAAGAAAGAGGAAGGAAGGAAGGAAGGAGGGAGTGAGGGAGGAAGGGAAGAAAGGAAAGGAGGAAGGGAGGGAAGGAAGGAAGAGAGGAAGGGAGAAAACTTGGAACTGGGCATGGTAGTACACACCTGTAATCCCAGCACTCAGGAGGCAGAGACCCTATCTCAAACAAACACACTTTTAAGTCATAAATTAACCAAGGAGTACTCCCATAGTGATATGTAATTATAACTAATACTGTAATTGTTTTGGACACACCTCCATTAGATAATCCATTTACTAGACTGGCTACCTCATTACCGAATTCCACACTTTCATTGTTGGAGATACCGCATTTGACTTGTTCTTGGTTTCCTTCTAGGAAACTGACTGATTTCCTAGCCTAGTGGATGACTACAGGTTGTTTCTGATGACTGTAACCAAATATTTATATGATAAATATAATGATAATATATTATATATAATATGATTCTTTAAAGTAGGTTCTATTATTTTCACTGATGGACTGGGGAAACTGAGGCTCCAGGTGGTTAAATGACTTGCCTGAGACCACACACGTGGCAGCTGGTGTTATTAAGACCTGTATTCAAGTCTTTCTTACTCAAAGCCTATGCCATAATGCACACACACACTGTAGGAAATTCGGGCCTGCTATGGTAATACACACCATAATCCCAGCACTCAGGAGTAAGAGGCAGGAGGATTGAAAGTTTGAGGCAAGCCTTGAGCTACATAGTGAGTTCAAGGCCAGCCTGGGCTACATAGCAAGACTCTGTCTCAAAATACCAAAAACAGACTGGAGGTATGGCTCAAGTGGCAAAGTACCTGCTTCGCAATAGCAAAGCCCTGAGTTCAAATCCCAGTCCCTACCAACAACAACAACAAAAAACAATGGCTAGGGATGTAATTCAGTGGAGAGTACTTGCAAAGCCTTGGGTTTGATTCCCAGGGGAAAAAGAAAAAAGAAAAGAAACTGGGCATGGTGACTCAAGCATGTAATCCTAGCTATTTGAGAGGCAATATGGGGAGGATCATGGTTCAAAGCCACCCCAGGCAAAAAGTTCTCAAAAATCTGTCTTAACCAATAGCTAGACATGGTGGTGTGCACTTGCCATCCCAGCCCCTATAACCTGTTTTTGTTTTTGTTTTTGTTTTTTTTAACCAATAATATAGCCTAAATATTTTTCCATGTTCTCTTAGAATTTTTAACTATGTATCAAATACAATTGGCATTTTAGAGCTGGAATTTTAGAGATTATATAAGCTAACTTGCTGTTTTATAATATGAAAAACTGATGCTCAAATAGGTGAAATGACTTAAAGGCAGGAACCCAGGTATCCAGACTCCTAGTCTGGTTTCTTCTCCTCATGCCTCCCATTCTCTACCTCAGTGGCCACAGACTTAGGTGGATCAGAAAGGACCAAGCTCCCAGTGTATGGAAGGCCAAGTGTCACTGAAGGACATTGTCTACCTGGCACTATTGGTGTTGGCTGGGGCCAGTAGGAAGGCAGACACTTTGCACAGCTATAGGTCAGGGTCAGGGGATCCAGGCTCCCACCTCTTGTCCTCTTCCCCTCTTGGAACCTGCCCTGAGCAAGATAGTGGAGAACTTGCAATCTCTACTCTCCCACGAGGCCAAAGGCCTCTAGAGCTCAGGATTGAGGTTCCCCTACTCTTCCACCTCTGTAAGTGCCCCCACAGATACACAGGAGCAACCTCAACTCCTTACAGTGGGTCCCTCTGTATGACAGCCAAGTCACAGAAGTGTGGCTCTGCCCTATGGCCTAAGTCTGCTTACAGCCCCAGCCCCACCTCCCTACAGCCTCCCACCCCCTCTTCCAGCCCTTGAAAACCAGCTACCCACCCTCCTAGTCTCACCCACCCATTGCCCCAGTCCTGGTCTCTGAGCAGGAGAGCACTGGCATACCCCCACCCTCATCACCTCCACCTATGATAGGGTTGTTCCTGGTAGCCAAGAGGTTCTCCCCAAGCCTAGCTGAGTTTCCCTTCTCTGAAACCCAAGGGAAATGGCACTAATTCTGCAGTCTGGGGGGCAAAAAAGGTGCTCCCTTTTTCTCTGTCCAGGTTTCCCAGGGGAGCAGAAATTTCCTCCTTAGCTCCCTTTCCCTCCCACCCTTCCTGCCATCACCTGCTCCTGTTTGCTGTCCCCACAGGAATGATGTTGCTAGCCATCCTGCTGCCACTGGCCTTTCTGCTTCTTGCCACCAGCCTTGCCTGTGCCTGGAAGAGCCACCCCTCTCTCTGCAGAAAGCTGGGTAGGAAGGAGCCAGCTCCTGTCTCCACACGGAGGGAGGGATATTCAAGGGCAAACCCTTCTTCTACCCCCAACACCCACAAGTGTGTCAATGCCTGCCCCCAACATAGACGTCATTCTCTCCCCCAGGCTTCATTCAGAGGCTGGGGGCCAGGGCAACAATAGCCTGTCCTTCTGGGACCCCAGGATGGGCAGCAACACATGATGAGGGAGGAGAGTGGCAGGTTGGACGTGTGAGGCCTCTCACCCATTTTATTTTCCACTGCAGGGTCGCTGCTCAAGAGGCGTCCACAGGTAATGGTGAGGCTGAGAACACAGCAAGGAGGGGTGGGGTGATGAGGGTACAAGGCGGGCACAGGTGGGAAGGGCATGCAGGCTTTAACATCTGGTCATTTGGCTAATAGTTTATAGAGCAGGTTGTGTGCCAGCCCCTGTTCTGCACACTGCATACAGCAGTGAGCATACAGCAGTGAGCATATCTTCCCCTGGAGTTTGCACACAAATGGAGGTAGAATAAAGTTAAACATACTTTTAAATAAAGCAGGAAGTGGGACAGTGAGTGGCAGGGCAAAGGATGGGGGTGTGTCCTTTTAGACAGTGGACAAGGAAGGCCTCTCTGATACACTGATATTTGAGCAGAGGGCTGAAGAAGTGAGAGACCCAGCCAGGGAGCTGTCTGGAGAAAATGCTTTAAGAAGCAGGAGGTAGGGGGAGAGCATCAAGTGCAAAGGCCCTGAGGCAGGAGCATGGGGAGGAATGGAGGCAGGAAATGAATTGCTAAACCTCAGAGGAGTGGATGTGGGAACTAAGGACAGATGAAGTCCGGGTCCCTAGTCATTGATTGGTTCTCTGTCTCTTCTACAGGGAGAGGACTCCCCCTCCTGCCCTGCTCCAAAAGTTAACCATTTCCCTGACCTGGTAAAGCCACTTCTGCCTGATCCTGGAGACTTGCTCCCAGCCCCTGTTGGGCCCCCAACGAGCCCAGTTTTGGACAAAGTGACAGTACAACAGCAGAGTCCTCTGGTCCCAGCCAGAGAGCCAGAGCCTGAAGCTGGAGATCAGGGCCAGGTGGCCTCTGGTGAGCTGGGCAGGCCTGCAGGCCTTGGGGAGAAGGGACTATGGGGAGGAAAGGATGTTAAGAAAGGAGGAGTGGTCAGGAGGAAGAGAATGGTCCAGATGAAAGAAAAAAGCCTCAAACAGACAAGACAGAGATTCTTGCAGCCAGCCAGTGTCACAACTAGAGCAGTAAAAAGAGTCTGAAAACTCAGAAATAGTAAATGTACCCAGAAGGGCTGGTGGAGTGGATCAAGTGGTAAGAGCACCTGCCTAACAAGGCCCTGAGTTCAAACCCCAGTATCACCATGACCTGCACACACACACACACACACACACACACACACACACACAAAAGAAAGAAAGCAGTAGCACACGGGACAGGGGACAGATGTGGGAGAGGGTCCAGGTAGGAAAGGGGAGGAGGCTGGAAGGGGCTGGGAGGACTGGGAAAGTGGCAGTCTGTGCCACTATGTTGCCCTTGACCTTCCTCCACCATGCTCCCTCCACCCCACTCATCCTGCCTCTCTTCCCACAGGGGCAAATGGCATTCATGTCACTGGAGGCTCTGTGACTGTCACTGGCAACATTTACATCTACAATGGGCCAGTGCTGGGAGGAGCACGGGGTCCTGGAGACCCCCCAGCTCCCCCTGAACCTCCGTACCCCACTCCGGAAGAGGGTGTTCCAGGCTCTTCAGAGCTCTCTACGCCCTACCAGGAGGATGGCAAAGCCTGGCATCTGGCTGAGACAGAGACACTCGGGTGCCACGCCCTCTAACAGGGGCCCAAGTTGCCAATTAGTCACCATGCCTGACAGTGTCTGGGAAAAGCAAAGAGAAGAGAGGCTCAAGAGCACCTTCTCCCCGAAGGCTGCCCCACCCACACAGGACTCACCAGGGGCCTGGGTAGGGCTCTGCCTCTCGGGAACATTGCCTCAGACACCTCTTCGAGAGCAGGGCCAGGCACTAGCTGGGCACAGAGCCCACCACAGGACTCCCACCACTGCCTGAGCAAGCCTGAGACCTGATTGCAGACCCACCTGCCCACCAGGGCTGCACCTGCCCTGCCTCAGGCACGGACAGGGCATGTGACACTAACTGCTGTCCACCATGGCACTCTGCACCCTAAGCATGGCACAGAGGGGAGCTGGTCACATGGTCACTTGCAAAGACATCACCAGGACCACTGAAGGATTTGTGGTGCTCACCCCAAACTTTGGAGGCCCTGGGGCGGTCTATGCTTCACATGGACTGAGGTGGACCCGGATGAAGATGAAGCTATGTAGAAGACCATCCCTCCCTGATATCCTGGAGGAGAGGAAACACTCTGACTCAGTAAGAACCAGGGGGGTTGGTAGGGATTACCAGATTGGGGGAGAGGCTGGGAGGGGGAAGAAAATGACAAGTGTATTTATAAATTGTAACCACATGCAAATAAAGAGGAAATTGAGACTTAAAAGAACTTATTTTCTTGGGACTTACATAGAAACACTAGTCCATTAGGACAATATTCAAGGCAAAGGTGAAGATATTAAAATAAAATCCCATGGAAGTACTTCTGTGAGGGTCCCCCACATGTAGTCCAGTGATAACAATATTAGCCAGTAATACCTAAGCTCATGCCAGCAGTACTGATTATTTATTCCTCACAACAACCCAGGTAGATAATATCCTGGTAGCTATAACCCAGGTAGATATTATTCCTGTTTAACTCAGTAAACTGAGGCATGGAATGGGTAAGACATTTGCTCAAATCAGCAGTAAATGGCAAAGCTGTGTTTGGCACCCTGTTAGTCTGGTTGTAGAGGACTCTCAAATAATAAATTTCTACATACCAAGTCCTTCCAGAATTTCTTTGAATGGAAAAACTTTCTGACTCCCTTTCTCATAAGATCGCCTATTCCAGAGGCATTCAATCTTGGTCAAGTTGTCTGCATGGGACTCAAACTTGTAATCCTAGTTACCTGGGAGGTGGAGATCAGGAGGATGGAGGCTTGAGGTCAGCCCAGGCAAAAAGTCCTTGAGACCTCATCAACAATGGCTGGCTGTGTACCATACACCTGTCATCCCAGCTACTCAAGGAAGGATCTTGGTTTGGGCTGTCCCTGCCATAAAGTGAGATCCTATCTCCAAAATAACCAACGCAAAAAGGCTGGGGGCATTGTTCAAAAGGTAGCTCACCAGCCTAACAAGAGTGAGGCCTTGAATTCAAACCTCAGCACCACCAAAAAAAGGAAAGAAAAAAAAAAAATCTCAATCAACTACCAAATGTCTAGCTACTATGCAAAGCGAAAAGTGTTCTCCAGGGTTGGGTGAGGGAAAGATGTGTGCACTTGAAACATACAATGTGAGAGGCCAAGTTCATATTCTATTGGTGAACAGAAACCTAGGCTGGCCTCCTTTTAGCTCAGAAGGAGCACTCTTAACTGTTTTTGTCTTATTTGGCTTTCCCCTCAAACCTGCGGGATTCTCTAGCACTTTTAGTAGCAGATGTTTAAGCCTTCCCCACTCCCAGTGATCAGTGATGTCGCCGCCAGTGGACCTACTTGAAGAATTGCTAAGGGAGCAGCCGCCAGCTGACTGCTCCTTCCATAAAAGGCCACTGTCATGGTTCCAGTGAGAGGAGCTCTGGTGCTGGCCTTTATCACAATGGTGTGGCAGCAAAACACACCCCAGGAGTCAACAGGGCCAACTGACTGGATGGGTTATTTAAGGTTGACTCTGAAAGTATTGGATCCAACTTCCTTTTTTGAGAAGTAAATAATGGCAAGCTGTCCCTTTACATAGACAAATTCTCCTGCTCCTTTGGTATACTACAGCCAGATGACGTGAATCCTTAATAATTTTTCCAATGTATATAGTTTTTCAATTTTTTTTTTTTTTTTTGGTGGTACCAGGGTTTGAACTGAGGGCCACAAACTTGAGCCACACCTCCAGCTAGTTATTTTTCAGATAGGGTCTCATGCTTTTTGCTTGGGCCAGCCTCAGACTGTAATCCTCCTACCTGTGCCTCTCGCATAGCTGGTATTGTTTGTTGAGATGGGGGTCTTGCCTAGACTGGGCTCAAACCATGATCCTCCTGATTTCCTCATGATTACTGGAATTGGAGGCATGAGCTACTGCAGCTGGCCCTAAAAAAATTTTTTTTAATGGTAACACTGGGATTTGAACTCAGAACTTCACACTTACTAGGCAGGCGCTCTTAACTAATTGGGCCACTCCACCCAGCCTTTTTTGTGGTGAGTTTTTTGGGATAGGGTCTCAAGAACTATTTGCTTAGGGCTGGCTTAGAGCCATGATCCTCCTGGTCTCTGCCTCCTGAGGAGCTAGGCATGAGCCACGAGCACCCAACTTAATGCAGTCTTTTTAACAAAATAAAAGGAGGAAAAAATGTTTAAAGAAATGGCTGTAAGGCACAGCCCTGTGTGACACTATTCAAACTTAGGATACCTGACTGTACTGTATAAGCAAGAAACAAATATACATTGGTATTTGCACTGAGGTCACATTAAATTTATAAATCAGGAACAAATGACATTTTCTTGATGTTGGCTCTTCCTGTCAAGAACATAGTGAAGGAGCTGGGTGCCAGTTGCTCATGCCTTGTAATTCCAGCTAGTAGTAAGGCTGAGATCAGGAGGATAATGGTTTGAGGCCAGCCCATAATAGCTCTTGAGACCCCCATCACCAAAATAACCAGAGCAAAGTGGACTGAAGGTGTGACTCAAGCAGTAGAGTACCAGCTGTGCAAACCCTGAGTTCAAACCCCAGTGCCACCAAAAAAAAGAAAAAAAGAAAAAAAAGAAGACACCTTTCTATCTGTGCCCCACAAGTAACATCTTAATGTTTTCTTACCAAAGATCTCAAGCAGTTCTTCTTTTTCTCCCTCTCCTTCTCCTCCTTTCTAGAGAACTATTTTCCTGGGGCTGTCTTCAAACTATAATCCTCCTGATCTCTGCCTCCTAAATAGCTAGGATTACAGGGGTGAGCCACAGGGGGCCAACTCATTCCTAATTTTAATGGCAATACATTTAGCATGTTCTCATTAAGCAAAGTTTGAAATCGATACATTGATTTTACTATGCTAAGAAAGTATCCATATCTTACTACTTCACCATCATCTGATACAAAATGAATAAGGAATGAAAGCAGAGGGGTCCTGGCAGAAGGCTACTGTCCCAGGGAGAGGGAGGAAAGTGGATGGTTTGGATGAACCTAGGAGACTGAATCAACAGGATATGCTGACTGGCTTGCAAGCAGCTCACATTTGTGAACTTGGCCTACTAGTTTGTTAAATTAATCTGAGCCTTACTTTCAAAATTAACATTGGGAGAATATTAAATGAGTATTTGCTATGTTCCAGGCATCTTGAGATAAGATGGCAAACAAGACAGACTTGATTTGTAACCTCCTAGAGCTTGTGAAAAAATAATTACAGTGAGATATGCATTAAAAAGAGAAACATATAATCAGGGACCCGATCTAGATTTAGAGATGAGGAAAGCCTCCTAGAGGAAATTTACCATGGACCTAAGGAACAATGAGGGGCGGTTAACTGAGGGAAAGGGTGCTGGGAGCAAGTCTTCCGGCAGAGGGAGTAGTACTGTGCTTGGTAATAGGCAGACGCAAGTAGGCAAGACTTAAAAACTATAGTAAGGATTTCGGACTTTAAGAGCAATAGGAAATCACTCTAACTTTTTCTTTCCAATGTAGTTAAAAGTACCCATTTTAAATTTATAGACTGACAAATTGCTATGTATGTATACACCCAAGTAACCATCTCCGGAGATACAATCTCTAGATGACTCCATGTCCTGTTGCCACTCGGAAATTCTTACTACTGGAGTCCAAGTTTTTACTCTGGGAAACAGGGTGCTCGCGATAGCGGTATCTCCAGAGATGTACAGATAGCCACTTCCCCTCCCTCCAGTACTGGGGATTGAACCCAGGGCCTCCTGCATGCTAGGCAGGCACTCTTTTTCATTTTTTTAATTTTGAGACAGGGTCTCACTAAATTGCCCAAGCTGGTTTCAAACTTGCAATCCTCTTGCTTCAGCCTCCCTAGTGGCTGGGATTATAGACGTATGCCATTACCACTCCCTGTTTTTTGATTTATTGTTTTTCACTATTTTGATATTCCCATCAGTTTTGCTTACATTTAACTACATATAAATGAAATCATATAGTATTAATTTCATTTTTATTTATATTTTTATTTTTTGGTGGTGCTGGGAATTGAACCCAGGACCTCTTACCATTTGAGCCATGCCCCCTCAGCCCTTTTATTTTTAAGACATAGGGTGATAGTCTCACTAACTTTACCTGGCTGGCTGACCTCTACCTAGTAATCCTCCTGCCTCCACCTGAGTAGCTGTGATTACATGCATGCACCACCACATCTGGCTTTATGACCCTTTATCTTTTATGCAATTGTGAGCTATATGTTCAGGATTTTTCTTTCTGCATTTTTTTGACAGTACTGAAATTTGAACTAGGCAGGGATTCTACTACTTAAGCCACTCCACCAGCCCAATTTTTTTTTATTTTTGCTTTTTCATATTGTTTCAGGTCTATTTGTGGAAGAGACTGTTCTTTCTTCATTGAATTACCCTTCTTTTCTAAATTTTATTTATTTATCTTTTTGGTGATGCTGGGATGGAATGCAGAACCTCACTCATGCTAGGCAAGTGCTCTGCAGTTTTGTCAAAAACAGTGGACAATATTTTCATTCACTTAATATGTCTGGGCTCTATTGGCTCCGCTGACCTATGTGTTTATCCTTTCCTAACATCACACTGTTTTGATTACTGATTGCTCTCTAATAAATCTTGGAACGGGGCAGTATAATTTCTCCAACATTTTTGCTTTTTGGTTCTTTTCAGTTTGTTTGTTTGTTTTTCTACTACTGGGGTTTGAACTCAGGGCCTCACCCTTGTCAGGCAGATAATCATTTGAGCCATGCTTACAGTCCTGTGTCTTTTTCTATATACATTATAGAGCCAACTTACTGTTTTCTAAAAACCTGCTGTGATTTTGATTGAGAATACATTGAACCTCTAGATAGAAATAGAGGGAATTAATATTGGTAGAACATTGAATTTTCCAATCCATGAGTACAAGTACATCTCTCTACTTATCTATACCTTTGTTGATTTTTCCCACCAGTTATTTGTAGCTTTCAGCACCTGCACATATTGTGTTATATTTATACCCAAGAACTTCAGAGGAGGACATTGCAATTGTAAATGGTATTTTTATTTTAGTTATTTCTTCTTTCATTTCATGGTACTGGAAATCAAACCAGGGCCTTGTGCATGTGAGGCAAGTACTTTACCACTGAGTTACACCCTGTGTGTTTTCTTGAGAGAGGGTCTCGCTATGCTCAAGCCCAAGTTGGCCTTGAACTTGCCATCCTCCTGCCTCCCCCCTCCTGAGGGCT